AGAGAGAGTGAGTGAGTGAGTGAGTGAGTGAGTGAGTGAGTGAGTGAGTGAGTGAGTGAGTGAGTGAGTGAGTGAGTGAGTGAGTGAGTGAGTGAGTGAGTTTACGTGTGCGTTCATGACCTTACAGCAACCATCTCCCAACAAATCCCATAGTTAATCTTTCTCTCTTTCTCTGCCCCCTCTACCAGGGAACCTGGGCCTACAAATACTGGAATGTCGAGGAGAACCTGAAGAAAAACCTCGCAAGCATCATGACCCTGCTGAGGGAGATCGTGGAAGACGAACTCAAAGAGTTCACCATTCAGACCAAATCTCTGTACCAGAACCCCATCACAGTGTGGATGCCAGAGCAGGGAGAAATCCAGGTGCAGCTGCCTCTGCCCTTCACCCTCAGGAGGCTGGACCAGGTCCCTGACCTGAGCCCACTGGTCAACAAAGTAGAGGAGATTGGCCAAGAGGTCGTGTCCTACCTGCCTGACCAGGGCACCTGGAAGGACGTCAAGAAGGTAGGGGAGGACTTTGGGGTTTTATTTTTCCGCTTCTTTTTGTCTGCTCTGAATAAGTACCGTTGTGTCTGTGTACGTAATATTTATTAACTTTTTTACTCTTACACTTGGAAAGCTTATGAATACAAGTACTTACAAAGTTTATGAATACAAGTACTTAGAAGCAAATGTAAGAATACAATGCTCTGCACTGGTGTAGAATCTAACTAATGTTGTGTATTTGGTGTTCTTTGTATCTTTAGGTATATGTGCGTTTAATTAAGAATGTGTGTTGGCCATTGGCCATTATAACTCAAAATTTCCTCACAGGGGTCAATAAAGTGTAATTTATTCATTCATTCATTCATTCATTCATTCATTTATTTAATTATTTATTTATTTATTGGGACCGGGCGAGTTATTTATTTATATATTTATTTTTGGGGGGGGTCCGGACAAGATATTATTCCTTTATTTATTCACTCATCTATCTAGTTATTCATTCCTTCTTTTACTTTGTTTATTTATTTGTGTTTTTAACTGCTGAACTAACAGCCCGTGTTTCCTCTGTCTCTGTCCCAGGTGGTGTCTGACCTGTGGCCCGCCCAGCAAGAACAGGGTGCCGAGGAGTTGCTACGGGACTACAAACCCACCAGGAAGTACCGCCTCTCCAAGAAGGGATCACGCAAGATCAAGAAGATGAGGAAGTACATGCAGTAATTGAAACTTCATTGCAACCATGACAGGATACGTCCCATGGATTAACCCGCTTATCCTCTTTATTGTTTCGTTGTATATTGTGTAGAATCTAGTTTTTGGAACTTTCTGGAAAGCTGTGTCGGAAACCAGTGAAATTTTAAGTAACACGACATTATTTTATATTATATTGAATTGTTCATATTTCCTGTTTTTATTATAAGTCAATAAAAAGCATATAAACATAAAGAACAGTGTTGGTTTTTTGAGTGTTTGTTTTTGTTTCATTGAATGTCCCCATAATCTTATCATCATCAAAGTTTTTTTCTCCTAATCATCTTCTGTATGATGCTGGACTACGATGCAGTTGGCCTTATAAT